GTGATTCTTTTTCATTCGCTCGTTGTTCGATCATCATATAATGGATGCTCTTTGAGTTTGTTTTAGTTTATTTTTCATTCATTTACATTGGCGGTGAATGAAAAATTCATAAATCTTCTTGATTTTTTTGTTGGTTACAATAATTATTCATTAACCATTTTCTCTCTCTCTCTCACTCTCTCACTGTCGATGTAACCTGTTAGTTTGTTACTGAATGAATGAAATTCAGGATTCAAATTCTGAATATTTTTTTCGGTTATTGTTATCAGATGATGATGATGCGACAAGAAGATTATCACAACCATTCAATGATCATTCATCATTTTTTTCTTCGCTACTCTTTCTGTTTGATTATTTTCTTTTGTTTTGTTTTTGTTTGGTTGAAAAAAAAGTTTTTGCAAGATAATTTTTCATTTTCAAAGAGAGAGAGGGTATCATTGTTTTTTCTCCATCGTTTGGTTTGGTTTATGACCTGATTACTCACTTGCCGCACAACTAATCATTTTTTCATTTTTTTCTTGCTTTTGGTAATTTTTGAAACATTTGGAAAAAAATGGACAATTTTTTTCAGGAAAAAACTTTAAAAAATTTATTCCAAATTCTATTGGCATTGATCATTCATCAGGATGATAATCATCAGAATGATAAATTTTTGTTAGAAATTCTTCCAATTATCATTATGAATCCATTGGCCCTGAAATTGATTAAAAAATTTAAAACAAATTTACCCAGTAATCATTTTTCATCGATCAAAACAAAAATCAATCAAGATTTAAATTTTAATCTTATTCAACAATTTAATCGTTCATTTTTTCAAATTATAATCGGTTCAAATGATGATGATTTTTGTCGCTGGAATCAGATAAAATTTGATAATGAAATTAATCGAATTCATCAAAATTTTCGTCAACATTTGATGGATAAACAACGATTGGAACAGCTGAAACAATCAAACATTCAGGTAAATGATTGCATATTTCAATTCCAATGTTTTTGATTTAATCATTTTCGTTTAAACACAGAAACTTGAAACAATTATTGAATTAATTGAAAATTTCCTTCATAACAATCAATCAATACGATCAAATGTAATGGTTATATTGAATGAAAAACAATGTGAATACGAAATTGCTAAACAAAAATTTTATCAACAAAAAGAATTAAATAATATTCAACAATTATTAATGAAATCAAATGAAGATCATCATGATAATGATAATAATCTTCGACAACAATATCGTACAATTATTATTGAAAATCAATTATTACAAAGAAAAATTGAAAAATTTCAATTAATTAAACAAAAACTTGAAATGATGGACCGGAGAAAATTGGATCATATTCGACATTTACAACAGAAAATTAATTTTTTACAAGAATTAAATGAAACATTACCATCAACATCAATATCATCACCAATTATGAATCATGAACAACAACAACAACAACAACAAACACCAACAAATACAATGCATTCATTTTTTATTGATCATCATGAAATATCACCATCAATTATTCTTTATAATGATCATCATGATGATTCGGATAATGATAATGATAATATAAGTCTTAGTTTTGATGCCCAATTAAAATTTTAACAAACATTGCCATCATCATTATCATTATCATTGCTATTTCTTGTCAATGGTCGAATCAAATGTGTGTGTGTGTAGTTAATAATGAAAAAATAATTATCATTTGATATCAAAAATTTTGTTTTTGTTTCAGTCGACAAGCAAATTGTGATATAATCAGCAATTTTTGTTTCCAATATTGGAAATCCGAAAAAATGGAACCCAAAATTATATACCGGGTGTCTTTTCTTTTCATCATCATCATCTCATTGATAATAATTTCTGGCCATTATTATTATTATTATTGTTTCAACAAAAAAAGAGAAGATATTATTATCGTCATCTATCTTATCGTTGTCTTTTTCATTTTTTTTTTGTCGATTATGAGGACAGATTTTTATTTTTCATTTTTTTCATTTGGCCATTTTTTATTATTTCTGATATCAATTCTTTTTCATCATCATCATCATCATCCTATAATTATCAGTGAAGAAAAGCGCCTAATTTTAACAATTTTTCTTTTCTTTTTCTTCTTTTTCTGTTGAAACAAACCCCAAAAATCAAACTTATTGGATAATAATAATAAAATGTAATAAATACAGGGTTTGGTGGTATGTATTTAATGTGTGTGTGTGTGTGTGTGTGTGTGTGTGTGTGTGTTTGAATTCAATTCGATTGAGAATTGAAATTTGAAACGAAACGAAATAAAATGAATTGGACGATATTGGTTTCCAAAGAGAAAAATGAATGAATGAATCTCGGTTACATTGTTACATTTAATTTGAGATTCTTCCATGTTTCGTTTTCCTCTCTTTTTTTTCCAAATGGTCAACATTCAGAAAACGGTAAAAACCACAGAAAAAAAATGAATCCAAACATTCATTTTATCGGACACGTGCTTAATGCTTTTTTGTTCGAAGATTTTTTGACAGCAAAAATTATTTAATTTGGACCATATTACAACGATGAATGTTTACATTACTAAACTACTCTATGATGGTGACCAAACAAATCTCTCTCTCTCTCTCTTTTTGATATCCAGTAATTCGATTGACATATTGAGCATTTCGGTACATAAATAATGATGATGATGATAACCATTATACTGTGTGTTTTTTTGGTCTGTATATTCTAAGTAATGGTTGATCAATTCGGAAAATTCAAACAAAACAAGCAAGAATCCGTTTTTCTTTCACTATATGCATGGATAAATTTCCAAGTGGAATTATTCTTCTTTTTTTTTGATAACCAGAAAGAAAAAAAGACAATCGTTGGGACGTTGTGTGTGTGTGTGTGTGTTTGGCAATCTTGTTTCATTCTGGGTTGTTGTACTTTCATTCTGTATTTCGAAACACACAAACTACACAGACATTTTCCATATTTTTTTTCCTTCTTCTGTTGGCTGTGATTGTTATAGCATTTCATTTTCAATTTAATTTGACATTCATCCGATGACTATAAGGGGAAAAACATTGAAGAGAAGAGAAGAGAAAGAGACGAAAACAACACCCAAAATCTAGAATATCAGAATCGCTGTTGTTGTTGATGATGATGTGATACATGAACAAAGAAAAATGATGTCATGATTCGTGTCATAAGCAATTTGTATTAATTATCGTTTTTTTTTTGTTTTGTTCAAGGATGAGAAATTCGTTGTTGCTGCTGCTTTCAAGATAATATGTTCAAGTCGTGTGGCTTCTGCTGCCATTTTCTGGTCTTGAAATTTTGTCCGACTGGGGAAAAACAAAAATCTCCAACCGAGCGTAGTAAGATAGCGAATGTGAGAGAGAGCGTTTTGGTTATTATGTGATGCCCTTTGACATTTTTTTTTGATTGGATGATGAATGGTTTTATATGATGCACTATAGTGATATATAGTGATTCTTCTACTTCACATGAATTAATATAACCACAAAATCGATAAGATATGAATGAATTTTTTTAGGGAAAAATTACCGAAAAAGTCTTTATCAATCATCAAAAAAAAACAAGAATCAAAAGAATCAAAAATAACCATAACGGTAACATGAAATGGCGACCGTGGCGCAATCGGCTAGCGCGTTCGGCTGTTAACCGAAAGGTTGGTGGTTCGAGCCCACCTGGTCGCGTGGTTCATTTGAAATTTTTTTTTTCGTCAATAAATTAATTTTTTATTTATCAAATATCACATCGCTTAATCATAAAAATCATAAATAACATTTGTGTATTTGTTGAGGGGGAGATAAAATGTGTGCGTTACATTTTTTTTTTGATTAGATAAAACAAAACAACATGGAAAAACCAGAAAAAAAACAATTAAATTTTCACAGATAGAAATTCAAAACAAAAATGAAGATAGATCAGTTGCCATTGATCGATTTATTGTGCGGTCGTTGTTCTCGAAAAGAAAGCTCGTTATTGTTATTTTATGAATTGAAAAAAACAAAAAATGGATGGAAAAATAGGGGAAAAAAAGTTGGGTCATCCACAAATAAAGTTGACGATATATCCATAAATTCTTTTGGGAATGATTATTTGTTTGTTATTTTCTGAGAATGATGACAAATAGAAAAAATGAAATGAAAACATCTGCAACATTGAATTTAAATAAATGAAAAAAAAACAAAGTTTTAACATTTATGAAACAAAAAAATGCAATTTAACCGACATATAATATATGCAAAAAAACAAAAAACAAAAAATAAATTCAAAATTCATGATTCAAAACACACACAAACAAACAAACATTGCACACTGAACATCATGTTTTATGAAATAACGGGATAAATTTCTTCTTCTTCATGATGAATGATGATTATCGTTACTGAATGAATTTTTTTTTCTTTGCTGCTTCTGCTGTAATATGTAGAATGGATAGTCAGTCTGTGCTCTCTGTGCTGTGTTTCACATGATATATTCATTTATTTCTGAGGTTTCCGGTTCGTTTGGTTTTATCATCATCATCATCATCAGTGATGATGATGATCATTAAACCTGGATGTAGCTCGGTGGTGGTGGCTTACTTTCATTTTGTTGGATGAAATTTTTTGTTTTTTTTCATTTTGCCATAGCATCATGTTGAACAAACAGAAAAAAAACAAAAAAATTAATTGCATCATTGATGCGAATGATGATGAAAAAAAAATCCCGATATTCATTGAAGAAAGGAAGAGGATGATGATGAGAGAAAGAAAAAAGCAGGTAAAAACTAGGAGTCACGAAAAACAAAACAAAACAAAAAATACCCGGTTAGGTCGGGGTCTATTAATTTAGGAAAGCAGATCTGGTTTTCAGGTTGGTAAAGTTATTATAAATGATAATCACAACAAAACAAAACAAAAAAAAAATGAAGAGTCGGACAAACAAAACAAAAAAAAACTTTTTTTATAGTAATTCTTGTCATTCAGAAGATTGTTTCTTCATTGTTGTCGATATATATGCTCGAACTTTTTTTTGTGTTTCTCCTGGAATATGATGATGATGATGATGAAAGTAAAAGATTTATCTATAGATGTAGTAGTAGTAGTTGCCGGATTTTCGTTGGGTTTATTTCCATTATTGTTCCAATTCTTTATATAGCATTTCTATTTCTTTTGTAAAATAATTATGGATGGCATTTCTCTGTTGTTGATGATGATGATGATGACCACCATGTTTAGGATCAAGAGAGAGAAAGAGAAGAGAAAAAACAAACAAACGATACATTAATTTGGGTTAATTAATTAATTAAATACCACCACCCACCCTCACCAAACATTGTTGGCCCAAATTGAATTATACAGACCAACAAATTTTGCATTTTTTTTTTATAGGTAGGTACTTACCTTTGATTTTAATGTTGGTGTAAGTAGACCATCTTCAATAGTAAATAATTTTTTTCTTAAATAAATATTTTTAGGTAATTCAAATGATTTTAATCCATTTGCTTGACCAATACGTTTTAGATCATTGATAATTAATTCTTTTAATCGATTCGTTTGTAATGGTTGACTATTTAATTGTTGTTCAGTACATTCTTTTAATGGTTGTTGTAAATTTAATCGTTGTTGATGACTTAATGATTGAATATAATCTAAATCAGGTACAATAATTGCAATCAACATTGATTTGAATACATTTCCATGTATAAATATTTGCTGTACACATTGACTATTGATAAGAATATTTTCAATTTTTTCCGGTGCAATATATTCACCTTGTTGTAATTTGAATATATTTTTTTTACGATCAATTAAACGTAATGTACCATCCGAACTCCAATAACCAATATCACCAGTATGTAACCAACCATCTTTATCTAATGTATCGGATGTTAATTGTGGCATTTTAAAATATCCTTGAAATACAATTGGTCCTTTGACTAGAATTTCACCACGTCCATCACAACTATTATAATCCATTTCTGGTACATCAACTAATTTAACAATACAACTAACTAATGGTGGTCCAACATGTCCAGTTGTTTCATCACCCATCAATGTTGCTGTACATGGTCCAACACATTCGGTTTGGCCATAACCTTCAGATATCTTTTTTTTTGATACAAACAACAAACAACAACAACAATAACAGAAAAAAAACCATTAGAAAATCATAAAATCCATTAAAAGATTGATGTTTGAATGTTTAAAATGTTTAAATGTAACAAAGAAAGAAATAAAATAAAAATGATTCCACACAACTTACCACACAACCAATAGCAACACGAAGAAAATCTAAAACATCCGAACTAAGCGGTGCAGCTCCAACACAAATCAAACGAATATTTGAACCAAAATTTTTTCGGACACGATTAAATACTAAACGATCCCAGATGGTATTATTACGTATCACGTGTCTAGCTAAATATTTATGTTTTTGTCTATATGCTAAATGTAATAACCAACGTTTTAGAATATTATTACGAACTTTAGAATAGATTGTATCATGTATACGATTCAATAAACGTGGTACAGCTGTCCAATCCATAACAGTAGAATCGAGAGAGAAAAAAAGAGAACAAAAAAAAATAACATCATCATTAAGATAACACACATCCAGCAAAAAAAAAGCAGATCGATTTTTGTTTTTGATCCACTGTGTTTGCAGAGAGGAAAAAAAACGGAATTCTAAATAATAGTATCATTCGATCATTATGGAAATCAGTTTTTGTTTTCAATATTCACATTGTCAGTGTGTTTCATTTTTTTTGCGTGTTAAAAAGGTTATTTTTAGCTTTGCGGTCAAAAACTTACCCAACATTATTGTTGGTTTTATGATTAGAATTTCTTGTGCAAGCTGTCGTATGTCACCAGAATAATAGACAACTTTCCCACCTTCAATAAAAACGGCAGCCTTAATTGAATAATAATCAATAATGATGAAAATAAAAGAAGAAAAAGAGAAGACACATAGGAAAATAAGATGATTATTCAAATGAGTGTGTGAAACAAAAAAACAAAAAAATGTCAAAAAACAGAAAAGAAAATGAAAATACCTCACCAATACGTTGAAACATATGTGCTAATGGTAATATTGAAATCATTATATCATCAACAGTAGCATGTTGATCCATTAAATGTATCGATATTGATGTAATACTTGCAATAATATTTTCATGTGTTAATATTACACCTTTTGGTGTACCAGTTGTACCACTTGTATAACAAATTATAGCTAAATCATTTATTTTTGGTTTATTATCATCGTGAATAGGATTATCTGCACCTGTTGTTTCAATTTCTTTTAATGTATATAATTGAAAACCTTTTTCCATTACTTTATTACGAATTTCAATTGTAATTTGTTGATCATTAGTTTTAAGCCAAATTAAATGTTTAAGATGATGAAATAATTGAGCTTGTTCTAATATACGATCTAAACGTTCAATTGTATCACAAGCAATTGTTGTTAATTCAGCTTGATTAGCAATAAATGATGCTATATTTGAACCTAATGTATCATATATTGGTACAATAACTAATGAATGTTGATAACAAGCATATTCAATTAATGTATATTCCATACAATTAATTGAATATATTCCTAATAATGATTTTTTTGGTTTAAGATTAAATAATTTTATAATACCATCGGCTATTAATTTCATACGTTGCATAACATCATAATAATTAAACCAATCTATTGTTTTTGTTTCAGTATTGTATTGACCAAGACATTTTCCATTTTTAGATTGTTGAAGACCACGTTCAAATATTTCGTTCATAGTTTTAACCTGTTCATATTGATATGTATAAAGTGTATGATTTTGTTCCAATAATTTTGATATACGTTCGATTGGATCATCTTTGTATGGTATTGATTGATTACGATAATCTAATCCTCTACCTAGATAACGTATCGGTGTTGTTGTTGTAGTTGTTTTATCATTTCTTCTTATCGACGATGATGTAGATGATGACGATGATGATGATGATGGTGAAGGTGATGATAATGATGATGATGTTTTATTAGATAATTGTTGTATTGTTGTTGTATCATTGATTGAATTTGTAATTTGGCCATTTTGAAATTCGGATGATTTTTTCATCATCGTTATTTATTTATTGATTATTATCGTTTTCAAATGAAATTAGCTACAATGAAATGTTTGTTATCAATGATTATTCATTCATTCAATATGATGATTTTGAAGAATTTATTCGTAAAAAATAACAAAGAATTTTCGTAAAGGGTGACGAAATACACAACAAAAAATTGTTAAAATGTTTCAACTTTTTAAACATTTGTTTTTTCATTCATTAAATTCTAATCAAATTGATTGAGTGAAACAAAAATCGAATTTTTTTCAAAGCTCAAATTTGATTTTTTGGGGGAAAAAAATATGTAAAAATGTGTGCGTTTGAAAGATTGGCTCTAATTTCTTCGGTTGAAAAACATTCGATGATTGATGTCAAATTCGATGATGATGATGACCGAAAAACAACAACAACATTTCAATGTCACTGGATCAACAACAAAAAATCTTTCAAATTTGACATTTTTTTTCAAAAAACACACCCACCCGATCATTCAAAACAAAAAAAATTAATAATTTCAACAACAACAACAGAAAAAAACATGGGCTCAAAACAAAACAAAACAAAACAAAAAAAGCTGAGAAATTCAATTCACTTTCTGTTGGAACACGGATAGTATCAAAAAAAAAAAAAAAAAAATCGAACCCCTTTACCGAAATGTCATTTTTTTTGGCTTGGTGTTTTTTTGACGCC